AAAAAAAAAAAAAAAAAACAAACATCAGTGTAAAAAATTAATCTTAACCTTAATCATCTCATATATTTTATCAATATGTATTTGACTTCCACTCTTAAGACCATTTTTGTGTTCAGATGAAAAAAAAATAAAAAAATCTACCAATAGATTTGGTAAAATATACTTGAAAACACAATTTATTAAGAAGACCAGTGTCCTAATGTTGTCTAAAAACTAATTAATAATGAATGGTAAAATAAAAAATTACAACGAAAATATATTATTGTAGAATTTCAACAGTAATTCCAATATATATAACAATATTATTATTTTTATTTTTTCAATAGGTTTCAACAAAAGTATTCCGTTGAAGTGAGTTTTTTATTAAAATTTTCGTTGGATTTTGACAATACCAACGATTAAAAATTAAGTGGAAATATTGCATATTCCATCGAAAGTTCTTACGACAATTAAATTATTGAAAAAATAGTTTTTAGAATCATCAAATTCCAACAAAAAATAATTTCATTTCAACATAATATTTTCATTGAAATTTCCACTACAACAATTCCAATAGAAGCTATATTATCGGAATATCCATTGAATATTTTTTAGAATATATTACTGTTGAATTTTTCATAGAATATAATAATTTTTGGGTAGTCCATCTAGGAAGAGTATATATAGGAAAACTTCAATGCTGTAGTTAAGGTTATTATGCTTAGATAGATATACTTTTTCAACCGCACAAATTCTCGTGTGAGATAAAACCTAAGAATTATATGGGTCGACTCATCATACTATTTAAAAAAATTACATACTTATACTATCAAATGTCATATTTTATTTATATATTAATTAGAATACGACATTTTTAATGGAAGTATGTATATTTATAAAAAAAGAGTACTACAATCTAATGGTTAGAACGGTGGTAAAAAGTACACATTTTTATTAAAAATGTACGATGGATCTATCTATATCAGACCGTCTCATGTAACAATTTGTGTTGGGGAAAACTATAAGACAAAATTTCTGGTTATTTTATAATTTGTAACACGTGCGCTGCACCCTCAAAAGTCAAACTAAATGAACGAGTCAAAGTTGCAACATTAATCAAACCAAATTCAAGTCGTACTCTACCTTAATGCATGTAATGACCCCTTCAATTTTTGACAATATTGTTATGGTAAAATTATTAGTAAAATTTGAATTGGATAAGGGCATAAATAAAATTAGAGAAGGTAAGGAGGATATATATCATATAATTTTTTTCGAAAATTTTATCTTGTTCAAAATATGAGATCAGAAAATGTTGTTTCTAGAAAAAAAAAAAGTGAAATAAATTTAAAAATGTAAATGAGTATGAGACAAAAACATAATAATTAAAGTTGATATAATATAAAAATAATATATATATATATATATATATATATTGACTAATAAATATATATGGGCTAATAAATAGTATTTATCTTTATAAAACATTAATAAGATAATTCAAATTAATTAAACATGTAATTATATGCGCTTACAAATTTTTCTACTCATTTTTTTTTTCGGTACAAATTTTTCTACTCATTAGTTTCAAGCATTAGAGCTAGCATACTCAATATGCATGCCTCTTTAACTTATTACCCGAAATCACGTTACATTTTCTTTATTATTATTACTTTTAAATAATATTACCTTATTTACAACATTAATCTATGTATATTGAAAGAGGAGAGTTAATTTTCGGGCAATTCGAGACTTACGGGATCGGGACTGGACTGTGGAGCTGGTACATGTTTTTAGGGAAGCGAACTTCGCAGCGGATCATCTGGCGTCACTAGCGGAGTCTAAACCACTCGGGGTACAGTACTTGCCTGATCCACCTTTGTCTGTTGGCAAGTGGCTCGAACATGATATAATTGGGGTTGCATATCCCCGCCGTGTCTTAACTTAGCATTCTAGGCCTCGGCCTCCCCTTTATTGTACCAAAAAAAAAAAGAGGAGAGTTAATAAATCATTTGGGGAAGCTTGTATATATTTTGATTATCAATATAAAAGTATGAAATATTACATGTTATTTACCTAGTATATATAAAATAAATATTGACATGATGTGAGAGAATTATGATGAATTATGACATAAATTCGTTTAAAAGTTGAGTACAATAGATAGAACGATTTTATAAAATGACCAAAAAAAAGGGATAAATAAAGTTAAGTGATGTTGAATCTCTTTCAAATTTGAATGTGTTACTAATTAGTTATGTTTGCTACCATCAATTAATAAGCCATAATTAACAAAAAATTAGCAAACATGTGATAATTCGAAAATTAACAACACGTTAACATATTTTTTGTTACATTAAAAAGGAATTTTTTGGCTGTCAAATTTGAGATAAGATATATATTAAATTTTTTAAGGCCATAACAATATTATTAGGGTTCTTCAAAACGCATAAATAATTTTGCACAAAATATGGAATTGTGATTTTTGAAAACGCGTTAACAAATTTTGAGCAAAAAATGGAATGATTTTGAATTTCTTAAGATGAATAGCATTACAGAAAAATATATCATCCCGTACATCGCAAGTTCTACGCGCTAGTTACAGTTATAAAGAGATGTTATTGTTTATTCTATTGTTGGTGTTGAGAATATATATAATGTAACTATATTTTCAAAACGTCATGAACTCACACACACATACAATTCGAGTCAAAAACATCGCCTGAAAATAGTAATATCTATTTTACTAGATAAGAATAATTAAAAGTACATTTTTTTTTGGTACAGGGACCTTCCGGTTTTCGGATCCACAGGGGAACCGACTAATCCGGAATCGAGCCGGGTAGGACCACAAGGACGGCAAAGCTCTCCCTCAAGAGTTTTAACACTGCTGCATTCTCAGGGCTCGAACCCGAAACCACTGGTTAAGCTGGAAGAGACTCAAGTCATCTCATCCAAGCGCGCTCTAGGATAATTAAAAGTACATTTGAATACATTTGGACGTTTGAGCTGGAAATAACAAGGAAATAGGGATATTTGGTGGGGAAAAGAAAACATACCAAGCATGGACCCTAGCCTACAATTTGCCAATTTCTTTAAAAAAACAAAAAGAGCCCGGAAAGGGACAAAAGCTAACTGTAAATCTCAATCATTTATGGTGAGAAGTTCATATTAGGGCTGCGAGTGGCTCGCGAGCGGTTCGAGCACAAACTCTAGTCGAGCTCGAACTCATGTTTTGCCTTGTCGAACAGCTCGAGATGCACGTTTTATACATATATGTGATTATATTATTTTATAATTCTTAAACAAAATGTTGTTTTATTTTATTACTAGAAAGGATAAAGCTCAAGCGCCCGAGACTTCTTGCCTCCTCCCTAGAACCCTCGTGTGAAGAAGCCCTCATCCACACCTCTGTTTTTTTTTCCTACCCATATAATATTTCATTTGTTCAACCTTTATAAACCCACTTCACTTACTCTCACTACTACCACACTAATAAAGAACACTCAAAACTTTGAAAGGAAAAAACCTTACTCGAAAATCGAACGCACCAACAAAGGAAAAATTCAAACTAAACCCCTCCAATTTCTCAAAACTCCCAAAATGGCCTCTCCCGACGAGACCTCAGCTCTCGAAATCATACGCCAGCACCTTCTGGACGACCACATATTTGCCGATAATTACTTTTCCGCCCCACCCCAAATCTCCCGAACCACCAGCGATTCCAGCTCCCTCACTTCTGAAATCACACCAATCGACCCCAATAATCCCGTTTATTTCACTTTCGCCCCGATTAATTACGGCAATAGCAATCCCGCCCCGTGCATCGAGTTCTCATCCACCCTTCTCACCACCAAAATCGAGACCGATACCTTCCTTGAGTTCCGACCCGACCCGCTGCCTGCCGACCGGAGACCCTCGCTCAGCGTAGCGATTCCGCCGGCGGCGGCGGCGAGGCACTACAGGGGCGTGAGGCAGCGGCCATGGGG